TCTGGGCACTGGCGGGCTTCAGGGACTCCAGGACAAGGAAGGCTGTCCAGCATCCAATCTAAAAAACTTTAAAGCCACCCAAAACCAGACCTCAAGCCAAAACCTCAGAGGGGAAAAAAGGACTTGATGTTAAAGTGACAGGAAAAATGTGTATGAGTGGAAATCCTGCAGTGCCACTAGTCTGCTGACTAGTGACTTTTAGTCAGGACACAGCTGACACGAACACACACATCCAGTACATCAGACGCACCACAGCATACACTTTGCTATCATGCTGACACTGTGAAAGTTAGCCTCTGAACTCTTCAAACACTTTCAAATATTAGTAACATGACAGCTGCACACACACTTGTGAGCAGCACACTTAACCAACTGGCTCTTCAGTCATGGGTGATGATGCTTGACTTCCATAAAATATCTTATGTCTTATATAACAAGACCTGACATGAAGCGGTGAGTATTTTGTTTGGTGTTTGATACAATTCCTGACAGACGTAGAGTCCAATAAAGCTGTGTCAATATGCTGTATGTGTGTCAGTTCTTTCATTCAAAGGGCACAGTTGTTTGGAGGCGAGATGTTGCATAATGCTTGCTCGACACTTATATGGGAGAGCGGATGCATTACCCACAGCCTTTTGCAAGCTGCCCCCCCCCCCTCATCTGTATCTTTTACCCCCTGTAGTCTGTATCTTTGACCCCCTGCAGTTTCCTGTTCTCTGTATTTGATTAGTCTCTCTCAGGCAGTCAGATCAGAGTGCTGTTCTGTGCAGAGATCCATCTGCATACAGTGGCCGGTTTTAGGCTGTGGGTTAGCCTGCACAGCTTCCAGGCCCCTAATGCAATCTGAGCCATTAGGATACAATGGAGCCGGTGTAGGGCAAAGATTAGAGCATGTCTGATTGAGAAGGGTCAGCCCAGTGGTTTATAAGAAGAGCCAATGCAGCTATGCAATGCACTTACTCATCACTTCTCTGACATTTATCATAAATTAGGCCAACAACAGGTATCTCATTCGGAGAAAGAGAAAAATCAGCTTCTCCATTTCCTTCTCTACACTGGCTGACTTTGCAGTTTGTGGTTATATTATTCAGTGCATTATTCAATTTATAATTGATGTCCAGTGGTAACAAAATCCATCCACAAACATATCTGAAGCTCACTAATTAATGTTTAATATTTCATTTGTTTAATACATACATTTTATGAAGGGCTATGTGACTATTTCAAGGTAGGCAGATTTTGTTACCTTCAGACAGAGCCATGCTAGCTGTCTCCCTCTGTTTCCAGTCTTTGTACTAAGCTAAGTTAACTGGCTGCTGGCTGAAGCTTCATATTTGCCGTCCAGCCATGAGAGTGTAAAGAGGGGAATCATTAAATTTCTCAAAATATCAAATTATGCCTTTTAAAGGTCTAGTATGTAACATTTAGTAGGATCTCTTGGCAGAAATATAATATTCAAAGGTATGTTTTCATTAATGTATATTTACCTGAATTAAGGAATTGTTATGTTTTTGTTACCTTACCTTCCATGGAGATGCCATGTCAAACCGCCATGTTTCTACAGTAGCCCAGAACAGACAAACCAAACTCTGGCTCTAGATACCATAGGGCTGTTTGTGTTTCTGTAGTTTCTCTCAAGTGAGTAGCAATCTGCAATTACAAAGCTAGATTCCACATAAGTCCACCTTTAAGTACCTTAACTAAAGGACCCTCGTGTTATTAAGGAAAAAAGGAAGGAAAAAATAACCCATAAACATTGTAGAATTTAATATTAGAAACATATAAGAAATGCTGAATTGTAGAATTCTACTGGAAATGGAATGTTTTTTTTTGTGACTGTGCCTATGAGTCTGTGTGTCTGTGTGTGTGGGAGGGTCTTTTGTCCTTTTGGTCAGAATCTAATCAATCCCTCACCCCTTCTTTCCTCTCCATGAGCCTCCTTGTCAAAATTCTCACATTTCCTCTACATTTCCCTTTTTTCCCCCCAACCAATGCACATTACTCTCTTCCTCTATTTCCTCTCTCCTCCACCCACATGTTGTGTCACTTAAAAGTGTTATGTGATTTATACAGTATCATTTCCTGTAGTCGAGCTTTTATGTGGCTTTAAACTCGGAGGGAGAAGAGAAAGAGAGACAGACCAGGTGGAGAGAGAACTCCTCTGTATACTACAGCGTTGGCATAGCAACTGTCATCCCACTTTATTATTCCTCTTTGTATTCCATTATTCACTTTCTCGTTCACATATTTTTCACACCATACATCTGACGTATGCTGCAGGGCAGGACTGTGGACTAACCTTTTCATTCAATTGGCCCATCATTCCTCCTCTCTGTCACTCCCCCCTGCTTTGATTGCTCCAAACTCTCCATCCTTCTCTGCTGCCCCCTAACCTCTGCCGACAATATTAAGACTTGTGTAAGATACACAGTGTGGTCTGCCACCATTCCTATTTTCCCCTGGGCTTCTGGCAGCCCTTTTTTCCCAGATTTTCTGTGCTTCATTGTATTTGTATTGTGTTTGTCAAAGCTCTCTCTCCTGTGTTTTATTGGCAGAGCAGCTGCAAGAACATTAAATTAAAGTTTAGCCCAGCTGATTATTCTTTTACACACATTTAGTTGAGTCTTTTAATTGGGCAGATGATAAGAAACAATACAATAATGGTGAGATTAAAACCACATAAGCTAACCCTCCACAAGCACACACACGTTTTTGTTTTTTTTTTACGGCCCACCAGGCTCCACTGAAAAAACTATAATTGTACCTTCAGATCATCGTATAACACACTTTGTTCAACTCGTAAAGAAACAAAATAAAACTCACCAAAACCACCTTTGTTAGTCTTTCCACTGTTCCAACAATCACCAACACTGGTTTGGTCAAAATTAATGCTTAATTTACTGAGTCAGATGAGAAAACAAATATCCAACATCCATCCTCAAAGCATCAGGGAGGGACCCTCACATCAGCGAGGCGAATGAGCTCAGATTACAACACACATTCATTCTCTGCTCAGGGCACCATTACTCCACGATATGTTTACATAGCAAATAGTTGTTAGCAACATATCATTTTTATAACCTTTAACCTCATCCGCATCTATTCCTTAAGAGGTACAACTAATGATTATTTTAATCACTAATTAATATTGATTAATAAATAGACTTAATCTGTAAAAAATCAGGAAATTGTAAAAAAAGTTCTGTTGTAAAGTCCAAGGTGACATCTTTAAATATCTTGTTTTGTCTGACTAACAGTTCAAAAACTTAAAGAGATCTATTTTATTTCACAATGAGATACAATGAGATGGCACGTCCTCACAATTTAGTCAGAACCAGAAAATATTTGCTTGAAAAGTGGCATGAATGATGACTTGATTATCAAAATAGGTGCTGATTAATATTCTGTCAGTTTCCAATTGACATTCTTTCATCCTAACATTAATCATCAAAATTACATGCCTCACCTTGCCTCCCTTTACCTTAACTAAAACCCTGAGTCTAAACCCCTGTCCTAATCCTACAAATCCTAAAAAATATACACCCAAATATATTTTTAGTCCTACTTCTATCTTTAATTATTTCTTTAACTATGTCCTCAGTATATGGCTTTGATTTGTAATGGTGGAGATCCTGACCTTTGACCTTTCCCCAGGCATGTCCAAGAGGAATATCCCGCTTGCTTAACCAACCACTCTCCATCACTGACCCATCACGAATCAGCCCAGGGCAGAAACAACACATTACTGTGTTTATTTCCCCCCCTCATGAAAAAGAAACGGGTGAAATAATCTGCTGTTAAATTCAAAGAGACAAGTATTTAGAGAGTAAAATACGACCAAAACTAACATAAATAAATATTAAAATTGACAGTAGATTAAAACATATGGGAGGAGGGCATTAATGAACCACTGTCTGTCTTCCCTCCACATTAACTGTCTGAATGAGGTGTTGGCATATGGATGGTGTTGTATAAATACTATATAATCATCACACAACATCATTTGCTTTATTGATGTCTGTCAGCTTGCATAATCGCAGGATAGGCTGACCTGTTATAAGGGAACCTTCTAATCCGCTCCCACACAATTCCGCGTCTGCGCTCATCCGATTAGGGGAGCACATATCGCACACAGAGAACCATAATATTAAACCGATTAGGCCAGGTATAATAGTCTAATTATATAGGATTATACTGTATAGACTCTGTAGAGTTAGAATAAATTGATTAGTCAGCTAGGAAAGAAATCCGAGAATCCCTGGCGAAAAACATGGTTACATCTCTTCTCCTGTAAATTATGCATTGGATTGTCTTTGTTAATTGTTTTTCTTTAGCCCTTTAGCCTAATTATTCAACTAATATTCAATTCAATACAACTTTATTTATCCCTGCTAGGGTAATTGTATGCAGCAGCCCGCCGCCCAGATAAGAAAAGTAAGTACTGAGGCTAATACATGATCATAACATCTTATTATAGTATGAGCTCAGTTCTCCAAGGGGGTTTTCTTAATTACCCAATTTAATCTCAAAACAGAGAAGTGTGCAGGTCCTTTTCATCCATGTATTCAGCTGAAGGCGCACAGACTCACCGCTCCTGCTTCCGCACCCTCCTCCACGCCATGTGTTGCATTTTTAATTAATTTTTTTGGGTCCATCGAAGTTTTTTAACAGCAAGAGATTTTTTTTTTTTTTTACACATTTATTCACTTGTTTTAATACTATTCAATGAATTCCTGCGTGTGTGCCACTGATTTGCCAGTCCCAGCGTCTTTTTACGGGCGTAACAGGTGCCATGAGCGACCAGATAGGGCACATAGTCTTTATTGTATAAAGGCAGTAACCAAGTGTTGTTTTCATAAGCTACAGTAAAAAATAATAACGACCCCTCCAAATAACCCGGGTACATTAAATTAGACATTTGGCATCTTACAAATCCTGCCACCTGTTCTCAGCGCTTATTTCGCCTCTCTGATTCCGTCCAATGGGAATGAACGGCAGGACTGGAGGCGGAGAAAGAGGGAGAGAAGTTGGAGGAGAGAGTGAGAGACAGATCCGGGGAGACAGTGAGCTGTAGATTGAGTGGAAGTCGGTGGAGTCACATATTAAATCTCAGGCTTCACTGCTCATCTGAGGACTGTTACTTGACGTCCAGCTTTGCGTTTTTTTGTGCGTTTTTTTTCCGCCTGTTTTGTCGGTTTATGTGGCTGCACATTTTTTGACGTGCAGCCACAGGTTGACCGATTTAATCCAGTCACCATGGATTATTCCTCTTCACCTCGAGTCGATTGTCACTGACGGGGGATCGAAATGGGCACCGTCGAGAGATCATCGCCGATGATAAAGAGAGAAACAAACTGATCACATCAAGTGAGCGGAGACGAAGGCAACATCTGTGGGGAAGCGACGCACAATTTCGAGAGACGACCGAGGACCTGTGGAGGGACCTATATGAAAGGAGGCGAACCGAAAAGATGATGGGATGGCCGTGACAACATGAAAAAGAAAAAGTGTGGTGGTCTATTTTCATCCAGCCAGTGATTCAACACAACTAACCTGGGGGACAGGGACTGAGAGAGAAGAGGTAGGAGGTAGGTAGAGAAACAGACAGGGAGGAGGGGGCCGTGAAGGTGTCTGGTTATATCATACTGAAAGTAGGTTATTGTTTTTGGATCAATCAAATGCAACCAAATGCAGACAACTTGTGCTTAACTAAAGCATACACACAGTAACAGTACTACTTGTATGGCTACCAGAATGACTGATGTGGAATTATTATCCTGTAGTCTCTGAGCCTGATCTCATTACCATGGAGGATTTGCACCATCCTCCTGGCTAACAACAATGTAACACAGATGACATTTTATGGCTTAGATTGCTGGGAGCATTGTGGGATGTGAGAGAAGGAGAGGACACTGGGAAACCGAGAGCGAGAGAGAGAAACAGCTGAGAGGGGCTGACTGGGCAGCTGACTCAAATGCGACTCAAGGAAGAACATATTCCCCAATTATGGCTACTTTTCTTCACTCTGCTGCCCCTCTTTGTCACACATCTTCAGCTTTTGGAGTTCAGTCTTTTTCCGTCATTTCTTTTAACTAGCCGTTATCCATCACAAAGCTCCCCCACTCCTCCTCCTTCCTGTCTGTCCTGTCTTCATTATTACCGTCATGATAAATAGTCACTACCCTCTGTCATTTTTCTCCTGTGTCTTTCTTTACAGTTCTTCTCTTCTCTGTTTTTGTGTTTGTCTATAGACAGGTGCGTGGCCTCAGCCGTGACCATGGAGCCTCCCCCCTCTCTGAGCTTGGCTCTGCTAGGAGGGAGCGAGGATGAGGACCAGCGCTTCCTCCTTCCACTGGGCAGTATATCTCATCCCTCCACCACTGGCAACCAGCCAGGATCAAACCACTCCAACCACATGGGAGGATCAAGCCTCGACCGTCTAAATGGCAGCACCCCGTCCCCGTCCCCTGCCACGCCCAACTTGCCTCCAGCATCGCTCCCCAAGTTGCCCCTGTCATCCTCTGGAGCCCAGCCTATGCCCCCACCCATTCCCAACGCCCTGCACCCCACCAGCACCCCGCTCTCCTCCTGCCTGGGCTCACAGCACAGCCTGAGCGGGGACAACTCCCCGGTCTACAACGCCCTCTTTTACTCCTCCCACTCGCCCTCCATGGATCGGGAGCGTGACAGGGACAGAGAAAGAGATAGGGGCTGCAAACACCGTCAGGCCAGCCCTCTGGTCCACCGTAGGGACAGTAACCCCTTCACGGAGATCGCCATGAGCTCTTGTAAGTACACAGGTGGGGTCATGAAACCCCTGAGCCGCCTCAGCGCCTCCCGCAGAAACCTCATTGAATCAGACAGCAGCAGTGAAACCAAAGAGGGCGGTGTTTCAGCTGTTGCTGGGGCAACGGCTGCTGGTGGGCATGACCGACAGCGAGAAGCCCCTCCTACTTATTTGGTGGCCCAGTCCTCTGCCAATCAACCCCTAATTCAGACCCCTCCAGAGATTGTGATTTCATCCAAAGAAGACTCGCCATACCCCAGAGGAGGGTATGACATCACTGACTCCACATCCAACCAGATGTCTATCTACCACCAGAACCACGCGCTGGTGGAGAGCAGGCGGGCGCAGCCGGGGAGGGGCAGCAGGCAAGGAGGGGTCGGGGCAGTGGGCACAGGGGCCAGGGGCAGCACCTCCAAGGCCCCTAAACGGAAGAACCAAAACATTGGCTATAAATTGGGGCATCGCAGGGCGCTGTTTGAGAAGAGAAAGAGGCTGAGTGACTATGCTCTCATCTTCGGGATGTTTGGCATCGTCGTCATGGTGATTGAGACGGAGCTGTCGTGGGGCGTGTACAACAAGGTGAGGGGACAAACCACTGATACTCTAATGGGCACTCCACTGATTTTACATGATGACGTCATAGTGATGTCATCAGGGTTATTATAGCTCACAGATTTATAGAAAAAAGCCTTTATAGCAAACTGAGAGTTTGTTGTTCATCAGGCCATAGAGGCAGGAATTGTCCCAGCGTCTAATGAAAGACGCTATCAACTTGCATTATGGGAAGTGTTATTGAAGTTTGACGCTTACTAAGGACTAAGAGTTGGCAGATCTTAGCCTCTACTGCTACAAGTTTGACCATTCTGTTTTTAATCTATCTTTTACAAGTCCCCCAACTTTATGGAAGTGCAAGAATAACCTGGCAGAGTCCCCCTTTAATGTAGCCTCAGTCTAAAAAATGTATATGAGTCCACAAATGTCACACCAAGCTGTCAGGATGGTTGTAGCATTGTGCACTGGCGCTAACTTTGGCACTTAAGCATTTTGGGTACACCTCAACCCCCAGGTCAGCAGGACGACCAAACTTTGGCTGTTTTGGACGGGTCATTGGCCAGATAATTAGAATCAGCTTTCATCTGTCAATCACCAAATTCATGAGCACCATGCCCATGTTGTTGGAGGTTTGTGTACTGTAACGACCAGGCTTGACAGTTGCTGCTTCTGGGTGATGTAATACAACAATGCAGAGGACATGTGGGGCAGATTATCAGTAGGAGGCCAGGATCTCATTTGTCTGTGTAATGGGGAGTGTAATAAGCTGAATCGGCCCCTGGCTGCCATTGTCTGTTTATTTTGGGTGTGTGTGTGTGTGTGTGTGTGTGTGCCACAGGGTCTCAGTGGAGCATGTTGCGCTCACCTTCCTGATGCAAAGATACTTCTGTCCTTGTTCCATCCCTTCTTCCTTTCTGTCATGTCACAGAGGGTTGGTTTTCTTTAGCTAATAAGGTGGAAACATTACTTCCAGTCATGCAACTTGTCATATGGATCACTGACGACGTGAAAGAGGATATGGGATCATGTGGAGCACAGATTTATAGGTAACCTATTAGAATAGGCCAGCTGGGTGTGTCTCTATCTCCCCCCTTCTCTGTTCCTGTTTGTAGTCTGTGGTCTCCAGTTGATACTTGGTCTATCTCTGTTAATGTCATTGCTAGAAAAATCGGACCGTTCTGTTTAGCTGGCTGTCTCTTTGCCTCTGTCTCCCACTCATTACTTACAGTTTTAGAGGCCACGTCTTTTTATTAATGAAAATTCATGGATTGAATTTTTCTTTCTCTCAATCCCTCCTCGTCCCCTTTCTTCTTTTCTGTGGACCTATTCTCCTCCCTGAAGGAGACGGCGGACGCTTTTAATGCTCTCTTCCTCTGTGTGTCTCTTTTCTATTTCAACTCCACGCCTGTCTCTATCCTGCTTTCTTTTTTCTTTCTTTCTTTCATTTGTCCCCTCACTTTCTCTCTCCCTCTGCTCCTGTGCTCTTCCAGTGGGCGTCAAACTGGGGGAGTGTGATCGGAAGAGAGAAGCGGCTGGGCGAGAAATGAAAGGCTGTGGAAGGAGAGAAAAAAGGAAAAGGCGATAATGAAAAGCCTGATTTAGGTCCTTAATCTACAACCAATACCGTCCTCATCTCAATCAGGCAGAATTGTCTATCAATAAGAATTGATGGACAGCTGTAAACACGAGGAAGGCAGCTATTGTGTTTGCCATTGCTCAATCTATATTCATTAAGAAATCTAGTTAGGAGCGAGAAGTCAGAGTTCAGGAAGAATAGTATGTAAAATATCTTTGTGCCTCATGGTCTCCCATCAGGGTTGTACATTTTTAAAAAGAGGTTGAATCCAGAGAGTGTTAAGTATGCCTCAGCAAAGCCTGATCAAATTTCATTTTAAATGCAGAGTGCCAAGTTCTATATATTTTTTTCTGCTTTTATGGTTGCCGATTGGTTTGACTCCAACAGATACTGGAGTTCCATCAGACAGTTCAAGCCCTCACTTAGATAATTGAGGTGGAAAGAAGCCCGCTGGTTGTTGTGAAAAATGGATAGAGATCATGAGGATGAAAGAGTGAACCGAAAGGGAGATGGATGGGAGGATGGCAGTGGGAAAAGAGGAGAGGTTCATGCAGTACTTTAAACCAGTCTAGGGGGGAAGCCTTAAATGATTTCCTCTATTGATTATTGATAATCACTCAACCACACATGCACCTTTCATCCCGGCGCACACATGCCGTACAAACCTGCACATTGAAAATGGATGCTGACTTTTAGAGATGCTTGCTTGTGTGTTGTGTATTGACAGTCTCATCCTTGAGAGGTGGCGTGAGAGCTTGTGGGTAAATGTGATAGGTGTGTATATATACGTTAACAGCACCATCAGACTTTGTGTCTTTAACAATAGCTGTAAACTTAATGTCACTGTATACTACCAGGGTGTGTATGTGTTTCTAAACCAGCTGCTCTATCTTGCTCCCAAAAATAGAGATGAAGAATAAGAATGGAACTAAACAGGGTGGGTTGGATGGTGTGTGTGTGTGTGTGTGTGTGTGTGTGTGTGTGTGTGTGTGTGTGTGTGTGTGTGAGGAAGGTTAAAGAGGGAGAGGTTAACAGAAAAGGACATGGTGTTCGTGACTGTGGGTATAGTGAGTAAGCATATGTATATTCATGTGCAGAAACAGATTTCAAACCCTGTCAGCACATACTATAGCTGCAGCTGAGATTTTCCATTCATTGTAGTATAGCCTCTGCCTTCAGTTATTAAGCTGTCTAATTCAGTCAAGTTCTAGAAAAAGTCCACAAGCAAGACCGCATTTGAGATCAGTAAGTTTTTATACAGATAAAATGTATTATGTATGTAATTCAACAGTGATGGACAGGGGTGTAGTACAAAATTATGGGCCATATACATAAGCAGTCCCGGTGAGCCCCTTCATCTTTCATGCATGATGAGGGACCTGCCGCTTCTCCACTCTCTGTGGCTATTTCTGATACTGAGGGCCATGTGGTTCATGATGTTAAGCTCTCCTAGCTAATATTGATAGATAATGTTACATAACATTGTATCTATGATGCTGATTAATTTATGATATGTTATGCAATGCAAATATTCTTCAAGTTAAATTCCCAGCTGATTACCTTCAATCTAAACAATAGCTAAAATTAGCTTAAACCAACTGTGTTAAGTTTGCACCTACTACGATGCACCTCTGACAAACTTGAACAAACTTCCTGAACCTGTGTCACCCATGTCAGACCTGTAGGTACGGCATGTGTCATGTAGATAATCAACAGCTTACATAATATTCTCTGGCTAAGCATTAATCTCAGGTATCAAAGTATGATTCAAACACGTTGATCGTTCAGGTAAACAGTCATTATCATGTCTTCAGTGAAATATAACTGAACAGCCATAACATATTAATTACCATCTTTATCAACACTATACTAATATTAGTTAATTAACATGTAAGCCCTTAATAAATGTTAACAGTTAGTTAATGCTTACCCCAATATTAACTCATGTTAATAGGTTCTTTATAAACAATTAAAATTAATATAAAACCTTATTTAATGTGAAAACTATTTGTAAATTATAACTAGAAACATTAGTTAATTGTTAATTAACTGTTAGTTAATGCTTATAATTCCATTAACTAATGTTAACTAATGTATCCTTATTACAAAGTTTTAAATTTATTGTCTTGGGGACGCTAGATAAATCAAAATGTCATCAGCATATAGTAAGACTTTATGCTGTCATTCTTTCTATGTGTACATCTTGTCTTATGATTGCAGCGAGGGGTTCCATAGCCAAGGCAAACAACAGTGGGCTCATGTGGCAGTCCTGCCATTACCCTGCACTAAACTACACTAAAATCACTATACCTGAGCCCATTAGTTATTACAACCAAAAGAGGTGAAGTATACAAGATCTGAATCCATTTATACATATAAGTAGTTTGGCCGTCAGACAGAAGCAGGTGCTTGATTAAAATAGCAACCTGTAGGATGCCTGGGTAGCAGCCACAGGTCCGACTCTGACCTGTGGCTCCTCTCTCCCCACTTTCCTGTCACTCTACAGCTGTCACTATGGAATAAAAGCAATACAAAGCCCTCCTAAAAAATATGAAACAATAGCAACTCCTCTGCTAGTAAAAGATGAATAAACACCTGTCCTACTGTAGAATGTTCTTTAGTAGACAAGGGAGTTTCTTGTAGAAGGGCTTTGTGAACGTATTCCTGCTCCTCTCAATAAGGTTGGGTATCCCTCTAACATTCCAGCAGCAAATTTTTAGTATGGGTTTGTCACTCACCATTTTATATTGAGGAAAGTATCTTAGCTAAATATAGATTTTAGTAAATAGAGAATTTAGATTGCATCCAGAGCTCCCATACTACTAAACAGAGGCATACCGTATAAACAGAACATAAAAAATATTGCTTTGGTATCTTTTAAAACACTATATACAAAAACAGGCAGGAACAAAAGTTGGTTAACATGTATTAACCAAACCTTGCATTGTCTGAAAAGTTCAACAGATGACCACATTCGTATATGCATTGAAAGATATGGAAAGATTTCCTCTATTAGCAGAGACCCGAGAAGGTGGCCCTCCTGGCTGTGAGACTTTTTCACGGAAGGTTGCAACATCCTTAGAAGAATCATATGAATCTTGAGATTGCAATGCATTGGTTGATGCCAAACATGTTAAGCCAACTTACTGGGAAAGGGGCTAAATATCGCTCCAAAGTTGACCTGTCTTTACCACGAGGTCTGCGACACCTCAGTGTCAAATAATCTGACCTTGTCTCACAGCCTCTGTAACAAATGATGGATGTGCCGCTGCTCCACTCTCTGAGGCTGTTTATGAAACTGAGGGCCATGTGTTTCATGATGCTAGCAATTTTGATAGATATAATTTCATATGACATTATAGCTATGATGCTGATTAATTAATGTTAGCCTATACAATGCAAATATTTTTCCAGCTAGCTTCCCTGTTGACTGCATTCTACGGAGCCCCTA